TAGGTCGAAACTTCTATCCAACCTAGAGTATAATACCTTTTGGCAAAGCAAGGCTATGTGAAATTCAATGGAAGCATCAGCTCTACTCATAGCATTCTGGGAAAATTCAACTGTCAGTCCTTCGACACCTCAAACGAAATGGAGTGAATGCATCTCATAAAAACTCAACATGTTTTATTGGGACCTAAGAAAAATTTCTTTACAACTTCCTCGGATTAAACACTAGTATAATCAACGTGCAAGGAGCGAAGGAAATCCACGTTCATATTTTGGGTGGATCAAATTTTATACTTTATTACAAAATCAAATAGATGTTGAGAAATTCATCTAAAATTTGTTACTTTTCTTTTGGACAATGCTCGTATGGTATAAGCCATTTTGTTCATACTTATTCCACAGACCATGTACTATAATTAATCTATAGGACCCTCCGTCGTGGCTGGCCAGATGCTTCTACTCTTCAGTGGTTCAACACTCCAAATAGTTACACTAAAGAAGTGCTTGAGACGGTTCCTGGCTCCCAGCACTTGGTCACGCACTGGACCTCAGATCGTGAATCTGCACTGCAGGCTAATTTGGCAACAGGTGGGCCCCTGCCTCCAGCCACATGCCATCCACTCACCCCTGCTGCTGTGCCTTTGGGCGCCTGTGGAGGCCCCCCCACCGATACTGCGCTGCAACTTGGCCAGGCGACTAATGCTAGTCTTGGTGTCAGTCTTAGTTTAGCCACTGGTGGTGCATTGAGCCAGGTGCCCCGCAATATGTTTGCTCCACAAGGACCTGATCCGAAGGAGTTTAAAGATAGACAAAAGAGAGTAAGTATATCGAATATAACTTTGAGATTTATCAATTTTTTCACCTAGTTGGGACTTAAACATACTCTTTCTTGGTTCTTTTTGCATCATCCTAGACATTTCATTAATAAAGTTACTCTGATCCCTAAAATTTTCTTAATTTGCGATCCCGATGAACGTATGCTAAAATTTCGTCTCACTTGACATACATTGCCAGATCGATAAATCATACCTTAAGCAAAAGCAAACTAAATTAAATA